TTGAGTTAATAAAAATAGGCTGGACAGGCTGGGACTTTTTTTTCACTGGAGCATAGGAGGTTAAGGGGTGACCTTATAGAGCTTCATAAAATCATGATGTGGAGATGCTGGTGTTGGACTGGGGTGGACAAGGTCAGAAATCAGATGACACCAGGTTACAGTCCAACAGGTTTGTTTGAAATCACATGCTTTTGGAGCATTGCCCCTTCGTCAGGTGAAGTCTTCACCTGACGAAGGGGCAGCACTCAGAAAGCTTGTGATTTCAAATAAACCTGTTGGACTGTAACCTGGTGTCGTCTGATTTCTGACCTTGTAAAATTATGAAAGGCATTGACAAGGTGAACAGCTCCAAGTTAAATTCTCCAGTGGAGAGATAGTGTATTCGCAGTACTAATAACTTGAGTATACTTTTGGTAAGTTGCTATTTTCTGGTTGAAGATAATAAAATGCACCATCAATCAAGGTGGATGTGCTCAAATTTCTAGGTAAACTATAAAAAGTTAAGCAATGTGCTGAGTACAGGAACTATTCTAAATCAAATATTCTGAAGGTGGTCACTGGGCTCAAAATGTTAAGTCTGTTTTTCCCCTCCATGGATGCTGCCAGACTTGCTGAGTTTCTCCAGTGCTTTCCAATCAACTGTGGAACCTTTCGGCATCTTCCATATGTTTTTCTGCATGGTTACCACTTATTAGCAGTCCTACCCAACACACAGCTCCCGTATTTACCATATGTGCTGGACTGAGAGGAGCTGCATTTTCAATCTCAGCTATCAACGTCCATGCAGCCTGGGGATCATTCACAACTTGTGGCTTTCCACTGCACAGTGCAACCCTTCTTTACTGCACCTCCTGTGGCCAAGGCACCATTGACCTGATTGCCTGCTTTCTGGAAGCCTATGGGAACAGCTCTGCCTCCTGAAGTTCACACAGGGTATGCAGCAGACTCAGCCAAACCAGTCCATGATGTTGTTCATGCTCCACAGGAGCTTCCTGCGATCATTCCTCACCTAAACCTATCATCATTGCCTTCCCTTTTCTTCTCTTGCCGAGTCTCCCGTTAGTAGTACTATTGTTATTTTCCTGCTCCCCTGATGCTGCCTGGCCTGCTGTGTTCCTCCAGCTCCACACTGTGTTACCTTATCCCCACTTGCTGCTTGCCCATGAGACAATTCTCTATTCACACCAAATATACTACCTCCAACACAGTCGCTCTTATCTTATGACTTAAAACTTTTCGTGTCAGGAAGTCCAAATGCAATATATCTACTGATTCCCCTCTATCCACTCCAGTTGAGACATCCTCGAAAAACTAATAAATTAGTCAGACACTATTTCCCTTTCATGAAGTCACATTGACTCTTCTTGATTACATTATGATTTTGCAAATGTGCTGCTTTTACATCCTTGATAATTGATTCCAATACTTTTCTAACAACAGATGTTAGGCTAATCTCCCTATATTACCTGCTTTTTGCCTACTTTTGTGAGTAGGTGTGTTACATTGATAGCTTTCCAATCTTCCAGTACTTAGACCATAAGACCATAAGATATAGGAGCAGACTTAGGATTTCAGCCCATTGAGTCTGCTCTGCCATTCAATCATGGCTGAAAAGTTTCTCTACACTGTCCTCCTGCCTTCTCCCCATAATCCTTGATCGCTTTACCAATCACGAACCTATCTGTCTATTAAATACTTCTCCAGAATCCAAGGATTTTTAGAAAATTACAACCAATGCATCCACTATCTCTGTTGCTACTTCTTTGAATGAAAGCCATCAGGACAAGGGGACTAATCTGTCTTTAGCCCCATTAGTTTGTCGAATACTACCTCTCTACTGGACCTTCCATTTATTTCTAACAAAACTGTTCCTTCAAACCTCCTCACGCTATCCCACAGTTGCAGACTCCAAATTCAACACTGATATTGTTAGCTTGGAAGAGCAAGCACCTTGGATTCAAACGTTTAGCGCTGAAGACTTGCATCGAGATCTCTCCAGTCAACTTAGCTTCTATAGGAGTCCAGTTCATCATTAGTGGAGCCATTCAGCTAACCAGGTTTTCAAAACCCAGAACAGAACTGAATCCTGCTTGAAAACAATGCTCACCCCAGCTAACTTGTAAATTAAATCCAAACAGCTTGAACACTCTGATACATACTCAGCCTTATAACTAATTGCTGACCAATTGGCCCTTGTTATTTTGTTGTTTTACTTTTGTGACCAAGCTGTCCAAAGGTAAAAGTTATTTGTGAACCTATTTACAATCCAACATTGACCACATTTTCCTGGGATTTGGAAGCTTGTAGTCTATCCATGGATTGGCACAGATGCTTCTGCCATTGTGCACCTTATACCATCTTCGCAATGGGAAAAAACTAGGTGCCACTTTAATTATAACATTCAAACCGCCCAGGTTTACTGTCAGCAGAATTCAGAACTGAATATCATGACCCCTACATACCTTCATTTTACCTTAAATTAAAAACACAATCTCAAAACATAACCATGTTATGAAACTAATTTTTGTTAAAATAAAATTAAAGAGCCACAGAACATTAAATTGATTTTGATTTGTCAATGAGTAAAAACTTATGCCAGGCTAAAACCTGTACTACCAGAATCTACAAGTTATACAGAGATTGTATATATTTAACCAACACAAGGCAGAGATGGTGAGTCGAACTCAATGTTAAGTCAGAAAGTGAAATAGTGGCCAAGAAGCAGGATGCTTCCTCATTTCTCTTTTAACCTACACCACTAAAATAGATTATGTGGTCACTTATTGCATTTGCTACTTGTAAGAATGGCCCATTGCATTTGTTTATTTAAAAAAAAGTAGAAGTAAAACACTGAGTAAATTGCTTTGCAATATAAATGCAATATTAATATAAATTAATTTAAATTAATAAAATTCTGTATTTAAAGTCATAAACACATTAGTGTTTCGCTAGTCTCACAAAGATTCTGATACATGCCAGATGCCATACATGAAACTCAACTGCACACAACCACTTTGCCTTGTAGACTTCAAAAGTGCTATACAAATAGGAGTTATTCTGAACAATTGAGTTCCTGGTAGAGACGTCTAGTGCTAAATGTTAAGTGATCAATTAAATGTATTATCCAATTGACAAATCCTGTTTTACAGTACTTCAAAAGCTTTCATGCAGCAAGATGCAGTAAGAAAGCATGTGTCCAAATGCAGCAAGACTTGGACAATATCCAGGCTTGGACTGAAAAGTAGCAAGTAACATGCATGCTGCACAAATGCCAGGCCAGGACCATCAGCAATAACAGAAAATTTAACCTCCACCTCTTGACATTCAATGGCACTGCCATTACTGGATCTCTATCAACATCCCGATTTTTATTATTGGCCAGAAACTGAACTGGACTAGCCATATAAATACGGTGTTTACAACAGCAGGTTAGAGGCTAGAAATCCTACCACAAGTGACTCGCCCTGACTCCCTAAAGCCTGTCCACCATCTAAAAGGCACAAGTCAGGAGTGTGATGGATTACTCCCCAGTTGTCTGGATGGGTGCAGCTCCAACAACGCTCAGGAAGCTTGACACCATCCAGGACAAAGCAGCTCACTTGAATGTTTATGGATGTGGTGCCATTCACCCCACACACCACCAACACTCAGTAGCAGCAGTGCTGGCCATCTACAAGATACACTGCAGAAATTCACAAATCATTCTTAAACTGTCCCTTCCAAACCCACAAACACTACTATCTAGAAGGACAAGGGCAGCAGACACATGGGAACACCACGTGCATCCCCTCCAAGCCACTCACCATCCTGACGTGGAAATATATAACCGTTCCTTCAATGTTCGTGGGTTAAAATCCTAGAATACCCTCCCTAAAGGCATTGTGGATCAACCTACAGCACATGGACTGCAACAGTTCAACAAGTCAGCTCACCACCACCTTCTCAAGGCTAATTAGGGACAGGCAATAAATGCTGGCCAGTCAGCAACACCCGTATCCCATGAGCAAATTAAAAAAAAAGGCCGACAAATGTCTCATCCCCTACTGATTATGTCCAGCATGCCACATGCCTTAGTAATTGCATCTCAAGCAGTCCTGACACCCACGTCCCTCTGTTTTCACACCCCCTTTAGAAGTGACCATCTTTGATTTCAATTTACCTGGGTCGTATCCATTCCTACTCCACTGATGGTGTTTTTTTTTTTACCCTGGATTTCTCCTTGTCCTTTTCTATATCAAACTTAAACCTTATGACACATTGATCACTGTTCCCCGGCTGGCACTTGATCCACTGAACGGTTGTAGAAAATTCTCCAGAACACATTCAACAACACTTAGCCCTCCTGCCTTTTACTAACAGCAGTCTTATTTTCACGTACTGTGTTCTAAATTATTTTCTGAAAGGTTCCAAGGTTATCCCTATCGTATCAAAGAAATTAACACGTTCCACCTCTGTTCACAGCACCCTTGTTCTGTAGCATTAAAAAAATACAGGAATGTTCACTAGCACAATTCTGTTTGGCAGTCCAGAATCATCAAAACACATTTGATATATACTTTGTTTAGCACAATTTCATTTCAATCATTTTGCATTGTCTGTCTACAACAAAATATTACCACAAACGGATAACACTCCAAAATATCAGAACACAACCTCTAACATGATGAACCCTCTTGTTTGAGATACTTGATGAGATCAGAGCACCATAAGTGGAGAACAGCTAACAACACGACCAAGCTAACAGAGTGGTCTTGGCTGAATTCGCTTGTTCAGGCAGAGAACATGACCCAAGAATGATCAGATGTGGCAATTACCTAAATACTGGAACTGCAGTAAAAACTGAAAGAACTGCGAATGCTGTAAATCAGGAACAAAAACAGAAGTTGCTGGAAAAGCTCAGCAGGTCCAGTGACTTAGGTTCTGAGGAAGGGTCACGAGACCCGAAATGTTAACTACTGGACCTGCTGTTGTGCTTCCACCAAGTGTATATTATGTACCGCTTACCTTATGCGAAGGTCATCATCCTCACCACCCCATCCCCAATAACGATTGGAAAATCCATTGACTCGGGTGAATTGCTGTTTGGTCATTGCTGTTGCTCCACCAAAATACCCTTTGTAGCGCAACCTTGCATGTGGAAAAATAATATTAATTTGTAGATGTTATTTTACTGCGCATCTTATATTTTTGCAAGGAGATCGTTCAGCTGGACTGCATACTAGAAATATAATCGGTCAAGTGCAAATAACATGGATGCATCTTGCTGTAAAGGGAGCATTACTTCACAGTGACAGACTCCTATCATTAGCTGAATGTTGAAAGCTATTGCAAGATGATCTTCACCATAATTATCCTCAAATTACAATAAGTGCAACATGGAAAGTTTATTACAAAATCCAAACAGTTTTTTGAACCTTTCAACCTGAAATATAGCATTAATCTGAAGCACAGTTAATAATTTGGCAGCAATTTTAAATCACATGTTCAACATGCCGTGGGCACAAGAGTTAACTATCTGCCTTCAATGTGCAGAGATGAAACAATCATTTGAAGGCAATAAATGTTTTCCATTTAGCTCCAATTTCAAGTTTTTAAGAAATAAGGCATGCGAGCAATTTCCATTCTCCTTGGAGTTCTTTAATACTAGAATATCAAAGCTTCTTTGGAGACCAGAAGACTCTTAAATATATCAGAGAATTCTCAATAAAACTGGAGGGAGCCATGGGCCAGAGCTAAAAAGTATTACAAACTTTGTCATCAATTTAGCAATTAAAGATAAAACGTGGGCAATAGATGTATAACACAGTGCATGAGTGCGTGCATGCTCAAAGTCCATTTGGCACAAGGTGACTATGCTTCCATGGCAATGTGACTCCTGACATTTGCACAGATTACATCATTTTATCTAAGTGGAAAATTATCAGCATCATTATATTGTTCGCCCTGAAGAAATTGTGCTATTTAAAACCATAAGATCATAGACATAGCAGCAAAATTAGGCCATTTGGCCCATCGAGTCTGCTCCATCATTCGATCATGGCAGCTCTGTTTCTCCTGCCTTTTCCTCATAACCCTGGACCTTCTACTAATCAAAACTGTATCTATCCCTGTCTTAAATACAATCAAAGACTTGGCCTCCACAGCCTTCTGCGGCAATAGGTTCCACAGATTAACCACCCTCTGGCTGAAGAAATTCCTCCTCATCTCAGTTCTTTCTTCATGGAAGCTGTGCCCTCAGGTCTTGATCTTCACTATTAATGGAAGCATCGCCTCCACATCCACTCTAGCTAGACCTTTCAGTATTTTCAATCAAATCCCCCCCTCATCCTACTAAATTTCATAGAGTACAGACCCAGAGTCCTCAACCGCTCCTCATATGACAAGCCCTTTCATCCCCAAGATCATTCACATGAACCTCCGCTGGAACCCCTCCAAGGCCAACATGTCCTTTCTTAGACAAAGGCCTAAAACCACTCACAATATTCCAAATGCAGTCTGACCGGGATCTTATACAGTCTCGGCATTTCATCGTTGTTATTGTATTCTAGCTCTCTTGAAATGAATGCTAACATTGCATTTGCCTTCCTAACTGCTAACTGAACCTGTATGTTAAGAGAACCCTGAACTAAGACTCCCAAGTTTCTTGCTGCTTCAGATTTCCAAAGTCTTTACCCATTTCGAAAACAGTCTATGGCTCTATTCTTCCTACCAATGTGCATAACCTCGCACAATCCCACATTGTATTCCATCTGCCATTACTTGTTCACTCTCCTAGCCTGTCCAAGTCCTTCTGCAGCCTCCCCACTCCCTCAACACTACCACTCCATCCACCTATCTTTGTGTCATCGGCAAATGTAGCAACAATGCCCTCAGCTCCTTCATCCAAATCATTAATGAATAACATGAATAACTGTGGTCGAATATTGACCCTGCAGAATTCCACTAGCCACCAGCTGCCATGCTGACAAAGACCCATCATCTCTACTCCCTGTTTTCTGCCGGTCAGTCATTCCCCAATCTGTGCAGTACCTTGCCCCTAACACCATGGACTCATCTTATTCAGCACCTTCTCAAAGGCCTGCTGGAAATCCAAATAGAACATACTATTGTTCTCCTTTGTAGGAATTCTTTGAGGGGGTAATGAGCAAGTTCAACAGAGTTGTCAGGCATAAACTCCCTTGACAAAGCTGTACTGACAAAGGCCCATTTCACCATGCACGTCCGAGTACTCTACAATCTCATTCTTTCTAATGGACTCTTAAAATCTTACCAATGACAGAGGTCAGGCTAAGTGGTCTATAATTTCCCATCTTCTGCCTCCCTCCCTTCTTAAACAGGCAGGTTGCATGAGCCATTTTCCAGTTGTCTGGGACTCTCCCCGATTCCAGTGATTCTTGAAAGATCACCACCAATCCCTCTACAATCTCTTCAGCCATCTCCTTCAGAACCCTGGGGTATAGTCCATCTGGTCCGGGTGCTTTATCAGCCTTCAGATCTTTCAGTTTCCACAGCACCTTCTCCTTAGTGATGACTATGAAACTCATGTCTGCACCCTGACTCTCTCAAAGTTGTTATATGCTCCTGGTATCTTCCACCATGAAGACTGATGCAAAGTTCCCATTCAGTTCTTTCACCATTACTTTGTTCCACATTACTACTTATCTGACCTCATTCGTCCAATGTCCACTCTGGCCTCTCTCTTCCCTTTAATATATCTTAAGAAAAAGCTCTTGCAATATGCTTTTATATTACTAGCTAGCTTACCCTAATATTTCATCATTCCTCCACTTATTGCTTTTTTTTATTATCCTCTTCTGGTTTTTATAGGTTTACCAATTCTGTAGCTTCCCACTAATCTTCACCACATCATATGCTTTTCCTTTTGCTTTGATGCTGTCCCTGACTTCCCTTGTCAGCCATGTTTGCCTCATCCTCCCCTTAGTATGTTTCTTCTTCCTTGGGAAGGATTTCTGCAGTGCCTCCTTAATTACCCCCAGAAATTCCTGCCATTGCTACTCCATTGTCTACCCTGCTAGGCTCCCCTTCCAATCAACTCTGGCCAGCTCCTCCCTCATGTCTCTGAAATTACCTTTACTCAATTTTATTACCATTACATCAGATTTATTACTAAGTAAATTAATTAACCTAATAAGTTGACTAAACATAATAAATGTTTACCAGCCCAAGTGAAGTTAAGTATATAATTCCTAATTGAATAAGTAGTAATATTGATTAGGATTATTCATTTCCTGGCCAACTTGTTATGCAAACCGTGCCCTGCACAAAACAAACACGTACTTTATAGCCTTAAGGTGAGAATCTAAACTGGCAATGGTTAGAAGAGCATGACAAAATAGATCATTCTTTAGCTTAATTCTTCCAACTCTAAAGATGGATTTGCAGCATCCAATTTCCAATGCGTCAAAGATATCCCATCCACTGTGGGATCAGCTGCTAAAGATGATCTGCTTGTTATGAAGCCATTCTACATAAAGAAGTATTTCTGAATTTACCAGCTGGAAACGTCAGTTTTTTTTTAAAAAAAGGCCGAAAGCTAGGCTCCAGTGACAGGGTCAAAGATGGCTACATATTTGTATCATTATACATTCTACATTACAAAAGCTATTGAAGTGGAAACAATGCTGTGCCAACAATAACAGCCTTCAAAGCAGACAAATGAGGACCATCTCACATCTTATTAGTAAACTATCCAGAAAATTACTCAACTGGTTGTGTTACCGGGACTAGAGAGTTTCAGTTTTGAAGAAGAGGCTGGATAGGCTGGGATATTTTTCCCTGGAGGGTAGGAGGTTGAGGAGTGACCTTATAGAGGTTTATGAATCATAAGGGGCACAGATAAGCTGAATAGCGAAGGTCTTTTCCCTAGGGTGGGGAGAGTTCAAAACCAGATGGTATAGGTTTAAGGTGAGAGGGGAAAGATTTAAAAGGGACTTAAGGGACAACATTTTCACACAGAGAGTGGTTCATATATGGAATGCCAGAGGAAGTGGTAGATGCAGGCACAGTTACAACACTTAAAAGACATTTGGACAGGTACGTGAATAGGAAAGGTTTGGAAAGATACAGCCCAAATGCAGGCAAGTGGGACTAGTTAAGTTTGGGAAAGGTGGTCAGCATGGATGAGTTGGACCAAAGCGTCTGTTTCTGTGCTGTATGATTCTATGACCCTGAATGAAACCATTTGATGTAAACGCTTGGACAGAAAGAGACGCCTGGCTGAAAGAAAAATCTCAGCTATGATCTAATCAAATTACAATTGGAAAAGAGCAGCCGTCACCATATTTGGACCTCTAGCCTGTTGGTGAGGTGGTCACAATGACAAACTAACCCTTGCACATTTCAGCACATACTTGCCTTGAAAAACAGGACAAGCAACCCATGGCTGAAGGAAGGCGATCCTGAGGGAGATCCTGCTCTCACTCTCTTTTCATCCACTCAAGTTTTTAACCTTGGCTTCTGATTATAACTAGCCAGTGCTGAATACAAAAGCTTTCTTAAAAAAAAATCATCCATTTACATCTCTGTACACTTCAATGCCAAAAACAGCTGGATCACAGAGTTCAGTCTGTAACTAACCACATCATAGCTTTCAAGTCCAACATACGGCTTTGGAATTCTGAAGGTGGGATATCAGATGTGAAACTTTCACCGGTCTATTTCTCTCTTCAGACCCCAAGTCATCCTGAGCTCTTGGCTTCCCAACTATTTCTGTGTAATCCACAAGCTTGGTGATTGCAACAGTCACTTTTCTCACCCAAATTGTTAATATGAATTGTAAACAGTTGTGACCCCAGCACTGATTCCTATGGCATTCTACCAAATACAGTTTAGCAACCTGAAAATGACTCCCTTGTCAAGGCTCTCTTTCTATTAGTTAGCCAATCCTCTATCCGAGCTAATTTACTAGCCCCCTCTCATAGGGTGCAATTATACCAGCAAACAGATCAAGGAGACACTCCTACATGCAGGGAGCAGCAAAGGGGCCAGCACATTCTAGCTCCTAGGAGCGAAGAGCAGCAACACCTTCAAAGATGAGCCAATGGGAAAGGTTTCTCCTTGCATGAACCCCCACCACAACCCCACTGTTAGATCAATAGGAAAAGCTTGCCATCTAAAGGCCTTTTATTCATAAGGGTTGGAAACTGTGTAGAAGCTCTTGGCTGTTGGCCTGATACAGGATAGGTATTGCAAACGTCAAGAATATTTCAGTATGGAGGATAGATGGAGAAAAGACTAATTTTATTGCAATTATTCAACTCGCAAGGTGTATAAATTTGATCATTAAAGTAGATTATTGAAAAAAAAGGAAACTGTGAAATTGCTGGCCTTAGCAGAAATATCAGAAAAATAGAATATTCATTGAAATGGAGAGACACTGCGGAATGCTGCAGTACAGAGGGATCTGTTATAAAGGCATGTTGGCATTTTTGGCAAAAAGGGATGTAGTACAAGAGGATGTTTTACCACAATTGTACAAGGAATTGGTGAACCCACACCTGGAGTAATATGTACAGTTTTGATTTTGTTTCTTAAGGAGGGAAATAACTTCACTGCAAGTCATTCATAGAAAGTTCACTGGACTGATTTCTGTAATGAAAGGCCTGTCTCATGCGTAGGTTGGGTCTATACTCATTGCTGTTTTGAAGGAAGAGAATTTAATTTATGAAACAAAGATTTTGAAGGGGCTTCACAGAATAGATTGTGCAAGGATTGCACCCTTTTTGGGGAAATCTGGAACTAGGAGTCTCCCATTAAAAAGATACAGATAGCAGAAATTTCTTCTCAGTATTGTCAGTCTTTGGAGGTCTCTTCCAAAGAAGCAATGAAGACTGTTTCTTCGAATATATTCAAAGCGGAGCTAGACAGCTGTTTGAATTACATGGTATTATTTCTACTTTTGTACCCAAGATGGCAAAGGTCTGTAATGCTGGAATTTTCATTTCTTTATTTTTTTAAAAATTTTTTCCTAAGAATTTGTACTTAAGATTCTGTACCGAGGCACCTTTGTACCTAAGATGGTGCCGTAAGAGGCGACTTGTAAACTTTTCATTACTCATGTGAGTACATGTGCCAATAAAGCTAATTCTAACTATGCTGGTCTTTTCTGACTGAACCAAGTTCCAATTGCTTCTTTCTTGCCTCCAACATACCCTCTGGATTTAATGGCCAAGCCAAGATCAACAACATACTAATTTATGGGATATGGCACGTTAATGACTTGGTATTTCAAAGTGACTGCTCCCACTCCACTCCCATAAATTCAAGAGCAAGAAAGTACTACTTGTGTGTGTAAACTATACTTCTGATGAGGTGAGTGAGGGAGTGCTCATTAACATCTTTATTACCTTGCTTGATAAATCAGAGTTGGAAAATTAACCTTGTTGCAGTGCTCTAAAATTGGCTTCATTTTTTTTTTAAGCTGAGACTTCTCCAAGTCAACACACTAGCCAATTGGGAATATTATATAACACAACAATAAGTATACACACTCCTTCCAACTACGTGTCAAAATCACCTTCAACAATGGCACCTACCTGTATCCAGTAGCATTCCGGCCTACAACAAGGTGTTTTGGCTCATGATCACAAAGGTACAGATTGAAATCGTTTTCTGGTACAAGATCAACATCATGGAAAATGAAACAATCCCACTGGTGTTCCTTCAGTGCTTCCAAGAAGCCCACATTCAACAGCTTTGCTCGATTAAACACTCCATTACCAGCCTGAATGAATAAAAGGCTTCTGTCAGCCAAGTTATTTCAGGAGAGGTACATTAAAATGTATAAAAGCTTCTGATTTTCCCACTGATTACTCAGCAAGCTTCTTAACTCCTTCAATATTCCTAGATTGATATTGAGCTCCCTAAACAGCACACACTGAGCTTTATGATACAATTTATAAAAAGCTGAATTTGAGCAGTAGAGTTACTGCAGTTCAAAGTACTCCATTAAATATTTTATTTCTAAATGGTTAGATTTTTACATCACCTTCAATTAAATACAATGAACCCACATCACCATAAAGTGGCACAGTTCTCATGAAAAATTTGACATTTGAAATGTTGTTGGACATAAAGGAACTTTAGAAGACGACTGGAATATGAACTATTCTAACAACTGGCAAGTTGTCTCGCCAAGATCCATAGAGAAGCAGTTGATCTTCCTGAAAGCAAGAGAGAAAATTAAGTGTGCAACAGCAGGATAGCAACAACAATGATGAAAGATTTTGTGTCAATTCTCTTGCTGTTTCTTATGACAGAGAAAAGTGAAAGAGGATAGAATGGAAGACTGAAAGAAGCAAAAAGCATGAATGTGTAACAAAAATAGTGTAAAGCTAAGCAGAGATAGGGCAGAGAAACAGAAGAGTCAAATGCAAAAACGCACATATGCAGATGTCCCTCAATTCCAGAAATGTAGAAACAAACAGACAAGAGAAAGAGATAAGGAAGAGAACAAAGAAAAAAAAACTCTGATTTAGTTTTCGTTAGCAAGGAAAATTCACCTTTGGTTAGCAACTAATTTAATCACCAGCAATAACTACACATTTATACCTTCAGTGTCCAAGCATAATGTAATATTTTTGTAAAATATGTAGATAAAATTGGTGCTTAAATACAAGCTGATCAAAGTTCGGCTTCCTCTGTACCTCTGGGTAATACAGTACCTGATTAATGACATAGATCCCATAATCCAGAAGCTGCCGCTGTAGAAATGGATGCAAATGCTCAAGCAAGTAGAGAAGATGTCTTTCCCGGTTCCTATATGGAATCAGTATAGCAACACGCTGAACAGCATGACATTCTTGAGGTCTATATCTCCCTTCCTGCACTTTTGGGTTGCTTTTCTGAACTTGTTCGAAGGTTAGCCGTGCATCAAATTTTAATGCTGTTGCACCACCTTAAAAAAAGGAGAATCAAGATTTATTGGAAAACAAGGAACAATGTTTTTGATAGTAATCGTATTTCTTCTTTAATATTCCATCTTAATAAAATTAAGCAGCAATTGTTCTCAAACTTTCTTAGAAACAACTGCACCCGTACGAACATACTCTTGGAATGTCATGTGTCATGTTTCTCAAACTTCCTGAGTTAATTTCAAAAATACCTGATGTATTTTTCTTGTTAAATGCTAAGATTTGGAATGTCTGCAGGCATTCCAATTACATGAAGCTGGCTTGTGTTATTAGAACAGATGGGAAATTACATAGGAACAGGAGTAGATTATGCAGCCACCTGAACCTCTTCCATTTAGATAATGCCTGCTCTGTAACTCAATCCACTTAATGACATTCGATCATATCCCCAGATATCCTCACCTAGTAAAAATGGCTTGTTAATACAGAACTTGAACATTGTTTCCAAAGATTTCCAGAACAAAAGCGAGAGGACTGAATCTCGTCCACCCCAAACTATAACATCACAAACCTTGCATACCCTCTGCGCTCACTGACTGGGGACACCATCCTACCTGCGCCAACTGTCATAACCGTGCCAACCACTTTCATCTCCTTTAACAGCTGCCTCTTTCTCATTCCGAGTAAACAGCCCCCAACAGGGCAGAGAGAGAGTCAAAATGGGTGGTATACTACCCACGATTTAGCTCCCCATCCATAATGAGGAGGGCATTGTGACTCTGATTGGTTTGCAAGTTGCAACATTAATACATGGTCATATGCCCAATGATCGAATCACATAGTCTTTAGCTGTTCATAATGGTCAGACCACAGACCTTACTAAACCAGTCAGCACTGGCAAAATCCAAAATAAAATGTCTACTGTTAGATACAATTTCATGATTAATTTGAAAGTGTTGCCCAATCCTGAGTGCTTATTGTTATTCGAAAAACTAATCCAAGATAATTAGTCCAGCTCATATTACACATTTATTCTTGCTAGACGTATCACACAGAGAATAGGTCCCTGTAACTGAATGTAAATAAAAAGGAATTCATGCAAGCCTTGTACCTTTGTTTGAACCAGTAGCATTCTGGTTTACAATTGAGCCCACCATTCTCAAATCTCCTTTTCTTCTAGTCTAACATGTTGTGATTGTTTGAAATTTGATATTCTTGTGATTGTTCTGGTGAGAGCAAGATGAAAAGCTTCAGTCACACATCTCTTTTGACCAATTTAAAAATCTGTCTTAAAATTTCCAATTGACCCAGCATCCACAGCTTTAGGTGGGATGGAAGGGGAGGAGTGCAATGGAAAGAATTCTATTTATTCACTATATATAGTGTGGAGAAAGCACTTGCTGCTTTTACTCTCAATTAATCCAGTTCTAATTTTAGAATTCTGCCTGTTTGAATTCGAATTCATTAACCCAGAGCAGTTTTCTCAATATCTACGCTAACAATTCCTTTTATTTATTCATAAACTCAATTAAGTCACTCCCTCAACCTACATGGCATTAGCTGTGGCTCAGTGGGTAACACATCCACCTCAGAAGTAAAACTGAGTAGGAACTGTAAGACGAAAGTTTTTTCTTAGTAGCAATCTAAATGCCACAACGAACCATTCCTAGTTAATGAACTTCTTACTTCAACCTTACCTTGGGGAAGAAAAAAGTGATGCCTGCCTCATATTTAATTTAGTATTCATTGAAAATATTAACTATTTCACAATAGTCATCGTATTAAATGAGACAGTATTTTACGTTTAAGCTCAAAGCTCCAACAAAAGGTCAAAGAACAAGCAAGGAACCTAATCGTTGCTTTTTTAAAAAATCTATTCATGGGATGAATGTCACTGGCTAGAGTAACATTTAATGCCCATTCTTAATTATCCTGGAGAGAGTGGTGCCGAGCTGTCTTCTTGAATTGCTGTGGTCCTTGGAATATAGGACACCCACAGTTTCAGGATTTAGCCCCAGTGACACTGAAGACGATACATTTCCAAGTCAGGATGAGGTGTGGTTTGGAGGGGAATTTGCAGGTGTTCCATTTATTTGCTGCCCTTGTGTTTCCAGGGGGTACAGATGACAGGTTTGGAAGGTGCTGTCGAAGGAGCCTCTGAGATGTTGCAGAGCATCTTGTGGATGGTACACAGTGCTGCCACTGTGCATCGGTGGTGAAGGCAGTGAATGTTGAAGGTGGTGAATAGAATGCCAGTCCAGCAGGCTGCTTTGTCCTGGATAGGGTCAAGCTTTTTGAGTGTTATTGGAGCTGTACTCATCCAGGCAAGTGCAGAGTACTTCATCACACTCCTGACTTGGGCGTTGTAGATGGTGGTCAGGCTTTGGGGAGTCCGGTGGTGAGTTAATCACTGCAGTATTCCTAGCCTCTGATCTGATGTTGTAGCCACAGTATTTACATGGCTGGTCCAGTTTGATGCCTGAACGATAGAAAACCCTTATATGTTAATAATGGGGAATTTAGTGATGATAATGCCATTGACGTTCAAAGGGCAATGGTTAGATTCTCCCTTGTTGGAGACGGTACATACTTATGGAAGCCTGTACTTTCTAAAGATACACACATTATACACACCTTCTAACTATCTATCAGGTTCCTATATATACGGCAAGCAAACTAAGTGAATCAACAACAGCTAATGCTTGACATCTGAATATAATTGAATATCATACAATTAATAAAGGTCACAATTCCTTTCTCTCTCTCCAAAATACTATATATTAACATTTCTTAATACTTACGTAGGTAAGGTGATGGAAAAGCACACAATGGAAGACTTGTTGGAGTTGGGGACACTGGCTGTGATCTGTGTGGACCTGTTGAAGCCATCTGAACTCCAGTCAATTTTTGTACTTTTTGTGCCAAGGGTTGTGGATTCACTTCCCACACTAGGTCCTGGATATTATGAGTTATTATCCAAGTAAGAATAGAGCCAAGACTAACAATAATTAGCAGCAGCTTCAATCTTTGAGGAAAACTGTAAGTTCCCAATTTGCAAGCCATAGTACAGATATCAAAGATCAATGAAGGCAACAGTCATTGACTGATGATGCAATGAGATTTGGCAGAAGGAGACTGTGGATTCTCTGCCTCTTCACTTATGTGTTTTCTGGCCCACATCATACTTTGCACTGCTAGGTATTCAACCTGGAAAATCAAAGGAGGATAATCATCAGTCAGTTCAATCCACTTTCGTTAAACAAAACCTTAAATTGAAAGCAAACATACCTTTTGAAACTTGCAGTAATTAACAGAACCAATAAAAGGCGCTCTCAGTACCAGCACCAACTTTTGCTATTTAAGTCAGTATTTAATAAAAGGAACAAAGAATTATTGAATTCTCTTTTTTTTACATTTGAAAAGGAATTCTGCATCTCTGGGTCCAAGTAAACAATTATCTTCATACATGCTGGTATTTTTTCTTTTTCTCGTTATCCTTTCTAGTAGCTCACATGTCCCATGATGAACAAAGTAGGCTCTTAATGACCTTTGAAGTAGGAAGTGTGATTCTCAAGAAAACAGGCAACGTTTTGTGATTCACAAACTAAAAGCACAACTAAGTCACAGACACTATGACAGTGCAGTCAGAAAGATCAGAGGTCTGTGTATAAAAAATTACTTCCTAAACCATACCACCACTTTCATACCACTGAACAAACAAGTAATTCGATTATTTTTCAAAGAAGTGAAAATCAGACTGATGAATGCGTACATCTTCCACGCCAGTATCCACTGCAGCCTCAAAACTTCGTAATCTGAAGAGAGTTGCACGGTTGCCAAAAGTTGTACGAACAGACCCTCAAACAACCTTGGTAAAAAAAACACAAATCTCAACTCCATCAACTATAATCATTGTTAAGTTGATTAAAAATACTCCAGACAAACAAATATCGCAATTGTATTCCAATCTGAATGATTTTCCACATCATTCAAATGTCCAAGTATTGCTATATTGAGTGAAGTGTATTTGTGGCTTATTGCAATTTATAGAATCGTGGAACTTGCTACGGCATTCGATCTGTCACATCTGCACTTGGCCTCTGAAGGAGCAATTTACCTAAAGCCATTCCCTCAATTTCTCCTCAAAATTGTGCACATTGTTTTTTTTCCCAGATAATTAAATTTTCTTTAATGGTCTTCATTGAACCTACATCTCATCACTCTCTCAGGCAATGCATTTCAAATCTTGATCATTCACTGTGTATGAGATAAAGGTGTATAATATCATTATTTGGGAATTTGGATTATAAAGTAGAGGTAAAATAGATTATGCGGCTTCAGTTCTGTGAAAGTAGTGGAGTAAAGTTTTACATACATGTTGAATAAAAACTTGGGACAAGTACCTAGCTACATAATATACAGGAAAAATCTGCAGGGCTATCCAATTATCAGTTTGCCTGATACTTGGAGTTATTCTAGCTGGAGGGAGAAGATAAACGACTTGGTAATAGCAGCTATTCAGTTGGATTTTAATATCAAATAACACTGTTTTTGGTGTGGGGGTGCACAAAGGTTCCATCCTGTAGTGAGATAACAAGGTGTAGAGCTGGATGAACACTGCAGGCCAAGCAGCATCAGAGGAGCAGGAAAGCTGATGTTTTGGGCCCAAAACGTCAGCTTTCCTGCTCCTCTGATGCTGCTTGGCCTGCAGTGTTCATCCAGCTCTACACCTTGTTATCTCAGATTCTCCAGCATCGGCAGTTCCTACTATCTCCATTCTGTAGTGTCTGTGCAGCTTTGTTAGCCATCACACCTGACTGCACTTTTGAATGGAATGTCGATCTTGTTTAAAATGGGATAACACGGTGTAGAGCTGCATGAACACAGCAGGTCAAGCAGCATCAGAGGAGCAGAAAAGCTGACGTTTTGGGCCTGAACCCTTCTTCAGAAAATTAAATGGGATTGTTTACATAGCACGTTATGCATGAGTGCACTTTCAAGTGGGGTGTAACCGCAAATTGAAGTGGTTGTAACCTGATACGGTAGCGAACCCCTGAATTAGTTTGAATGGGGGCTGGCTAGTACATGGAAATCTGCAGTTAGTATTATAAGCACGAATTAGTGGGTTAATGGATTTATAGAGTTATATTAAAAGTTGTTAACACATTTGAATTCTGATATATCAGTATATTTCTTTAAAAAGAGATCAGAGAGTTATAGGAACCATGAATGAAGGATATCACTTCCAAGATGTTACATGACTTATGTTAAGTAACTAACTAGAAGTGTTTAACCAAGGTGAACTCGTAGGACATTCAGACAAAACAGACAAGGAGCTATAAGCAGTTTGAGATCTGAATTAAATTGTCAGTTCAGAAGAAGAGTTTCACCTTAGCAGAAGGACAGGGTAGATTTGTTAAGTCCCCAACCCGTGACAGCTTTTGTAAAGGTTTACAAGTTGTCAGAACCATAAAGGGGTTTGAGACATCATAATTGGAAACAACCCTCTGGGCCATCAAACCTGGTAAAACCATAAGACCATAAGACATTGAGATAAAAACAGGCTGTTCCACCGATGGAGTCTGCTCTGCCGTTCAATGAGATCATGTGTAATCTTCAACTCTTTTTTCTTGCCTTTTCCCTAAACTCTGGATTCCCTTCCTGATTAAAAAAATCTGTCTATCACAGCCTAAAATATACTTAATGACCCAGCCTCAAAAGCCATCTTTGGAAAAGAATTCCACAGAGAAGAAATTCCTCCTCATTTCTATCTTAAATGTGTGACCCCTTGTTCTGAGACTAAGTCCTTTGATCCTAGACTTTTCCACAAGGGAAAACAACCTTTCCACACCTACCCTGTCAAGTCTTCTATGAATCTTTTATTTTTTAAATAACATTGCCTATCATTCTTCTATATTGCAATAAACCCAGGCCCAATCTACTCAATCTTCCTCATAAGACAGTCCCTCCATATCTGAATAATGCCTTGTATCATTTCAGCAAAACCTCCATACTTTCACAAAATAAAAACTAAAAGAACTGCGGATGCTGTAAATCAGGAACAAAAACAAAGTTACTGGAAAAGCTCAGTAGGTCTGGCAGCATCTGTGAAGGAGAAAACAGAGTTAACGTTTCGGGTCCGGTGACCCTTCCTCAGACCCTTCCTCCTGTTTTTTTCTCCCTACTTTTACATTCCATTACATTTGAAATAAAGGCCAACATTCAATTTGCCTCTTCCACTAGCTGCTGAGCTTAGATGATAGCTTTTTGTCATTCACGGACGAGGACTCTCAAATCCCTCTGTTTTGTAGCTTTCTGCAGTATTTCTCCAATTAAATTTTTAAAGCTTCAAATCTTCCTGAAAAAAACTGCATAACCTCACAGTATATTCCATCTGCCAAGTTCTGCCCACTCACCTAACCTGTCCAAAACCCTTTGCAGTCTGAGTCATCCTCGCCATCTACTTTCACAACTATTTTTGTGTCATCTGCAAACTTGGCTATCGCACATTTACTTTCCTCACTCAAGTCATTAATACATATTGTAAATAATTGCGCCGGCACTGAACCATGTGCCACATCAGCAGTTACAGGCTGCCAGCAAGAAAATGCTCCCCCCCTTATCCTAACTCTCTGACTTAGCCAATCCTCTATCCATGCTAATATATGCCTGCAACACTATGGTCTCTTACCTTATTAAGTGGTTTAGCAAGCACCTTCTGAAATTCCAGATAGATTACACCCCTAAAGAATACTTGTAAACTTGTCAGACATGAATTCCCCTTCATGAAGGCATGCTGACTCTGTTTGATCATAATATGCATTTCTAGATGCTTTGCTATTACATCCCATGGAACAGACTAACACTTTTCCAATAACAGACATTAAACTAATTGGCCGAAAGTTATCTGCTTCTTGTCCCTTTCCCTTTTCAAATAAAGGTGTTTCATAGGCAGTTTTCCAATCCTCGGGGACTTTTCCAGAATCTAAAGATTCCTGGAAGATACCTACCAGTGCACTCATCATCTCTGTAGCTACATTGTTTAATATTCCACGATGAATTCCATTAGGTCAGGGGACCTATCAGTCTTTAGGCCCTTTAGTTTCTCTTTTTCTCTGGTGATAGTTGTTGCGTTTATCTTCTATCCTTTTACCCCTTGAATATTCAGTAATTTTAGAATGCTGTATGTGTGTTCCACTATGAAGACTGATGCAAAGTATTTCTTCAACTCTGTCCTAGTTCTCCATTATTATTTCCTCAGACTTGTCTGCTAAGAGGCCTATGTTAACTTTGATATATTTAAATCACCTTTGTTATCCATTTTCACATTATTTGCAAGTTTTTACCCTCAAATTTTATTTCTCCCTCTTCACTATTTCATTTGGTTACATTTTGTTCAATTTTAAAATTTTCCTAATCCTAATCATTGCCAAAGATTTTTTTCTTTTAATCTGATGCTATCCTTAACTTTCCTGGTTAATCATGGTTGGTTTATTCCCCCTCCTTCATCCTTGCTGGAATACACCTTTGCTGTGAGCCAGGAACCATTTCTTAAACATCCGCCGTTGATCTTCAACCGTTTTGCTGCTAAACTCCTTTCCCGGTCTATTCCAACCAACTCTACCTTGATTCATCTGTTGTTACCCTTATTTAAGCTTAGCACAGCTGTTTCCAATCCAAGTTCTGCCCTCTCAAAGTGAGTGCTAAATTCTACCATGTTATGGTCACTGTTTCTGAAAGCATCTTTTATTCAGAGATCATTTATAAAACCTGCCTCATTACAAAATACCCTTATTACTAGTTGATTCCATGACATATTGTCCTAGGAATCTGTCCAAAATACACTAGGAATTCTTCATGGCTTCCTCTGCCAATTTGACTATCCCAGTCGACCATGAAAATTAAAGAAACCCATGATTAATACACTGCCTTTATTATATGCTCCCATTATCTCCTGATTTACTCTCTGTCCCACTGCATAGCTAGTGTTAGAGGGTCTGTGGACTACTTCTACTGGTGTCTTCCTGCCGCAGCAACACGTCACACATTCTCCACTCAAAATCATATTTAAATTTAACTTATAAATTAATTACTCAAGATTCCCTGCTTGTTATACTTCACTGCGCTGATAAACTAAATAAGCTAAAGGGGGGGGGGGGGGGAATCAACAGTATCAATTAAATATCCAAGTAATTATTTTTGTGAAAAG